GTTCACACCGAATACACAACCCATATGGGTACACTACTCGCTGGTTTGGAGCACGCAAGCCAGTGCTGTTGGTGCTGACATGAGGGCAACACGTTTATTGTTACGCGGAGGTGGGGAAGGGGAGACACTGCGAGATCAACTCACACGCAAGAACACACACGCACAAACATAACCACCCATAAACACACACGCACACAAGCACACACACACACACACACGCACACACACAAGCACGTGCGCTCTGGGCAAAGTGAGACACAAGAGGATGGCCGTACGGAGAAGTGCCAGGCACGTCAATCATTTGCGCAAGTAGCGCAGTCAAATACGACAATGCTTCAGAGAGGGGAACGCGCACGCGCACATGCACGCGCACACGCACGCGCACACGCACAACACAGAAGAGAGGAGAGGAATGGGGACATTTAAAGGGGGTTTGTCATACAGACAACCTTCACGCACACATCACGGACAAAAGTCCGGGAACAGCAAGTACGGAGACAGAGGCAGGGACACAAACACACAGAGAGAGAGAGAGAGACAGGGAGGGAGAGGGTTACAGGTTGACATTTACATCTTGATGTTTGGGTCCTGTTCTTGGAGCACGTTGTGTCCGCGCTGCTTTGTGGGGATCCACGTGCCGTTTTCCAGCTGAACCCATCCCGGATGTATCAGCGACAGTCGGCCCTCCACCGTCGCGCCGTTTTGCAGGCTGCAAGCACACGTGCAATGGACATGCACAGTGGGTGAGAGAAGAGGGGATCAGGGAGGAGGGGATCCATGACGTGAGCAGAAGCGCGGCACAAATGTAAACAAACCAAGCAAGCAGGTACAAATGTAAACAAACGTAAACAAACCAAGCAGGCACAATGTAAACAAACCACGCAGGTCCAAGTGTAAACAAACCAAGCAAGCAGGTACAAATATGAAAACAAACACGTTCTCCTGCCACACCAACGCACCAGGTGGGATCGGCAGCCTTGGCGTGCATGCTGGGCTTGAGGCGGGCGGTGAGGCCTGGAAGGCCCCAGCGTGAGGCATCCACGGTAAACTTCTTCACTTCACTCGGTGGCGCCACTTTTGGCATGCCGCGTTCCGGCAGCTGCACGTTGGCGGTCCCAGAGCTCCTTGGGTTGAAATCCATGGCTGCTGTTGAAGCGGTTGGAAGCTTGAAGCACCCTTGGTCCCTCGCTTGCTTGGTCCCTCGCTTGCTTGGTCGCTTGCGTGGTCTTGGATGGAACAACGACGATGCCTGCTCTTCTTCTTCTTTTAGATCTCCGACGCTGCTTGTTGTGGACGTGACTTTGTGGTGAAGAAAATGCCATGTTCAAGTCACACGATTCATGCTGACAGGAGGGTGCGTGTGTGCGTTTGCGTGTGTGCGTGAGGTGGAGGTCTCACAACACCAGACCGGCTGGCTAGGTTTGGACGCAAGCAAGATTGATTGTCCATTGCTGCCGTGTGGTGGTGGTGATGTTTAACCTCCACGTGCGGCACGCACGAAGAAGGTTGATGAGGACGGGTGCGTGCACGTTGTTTGTTGCTTGCGATGTTGTGTTGTGTTGTGATTGCGCTGTCCTCTTGCGTGACGTCTGCAATCCATAACGGATGACCTATTTATAGTACAAGAGTGTCCTAATTCTAGAGTCGATGCAAAGACAGGAGGAAACAACCCACATGCACACATCACACGTCAGAGGCGCAATGTGCCAACTTCCTTCGGCTGCTCCTGTTGCTCCTGTTGTTGTTGTTGTCGTCGTCGTTGTTGTTGTCGTTTATCAGCTGCACTGCCACCACCGCCACCGCCGCTGTCACCGCCGCTGTCACTTCGCTCCCTCCTTCGCGCGCCGTCTTTGTTGGTGTTGCTTGCACCGCCACCATACCGGTGCTGTTGCTGTTGTGCTGCCGCTGTTGCGTCCATGTGCTCCAGGTGCAGGAGTGCCAGCGCCATGGTGTTGGCCCACTTCACCTCCAGCACCTTGCCTGCAAGCACGGCGCGCCGCAGCTCCCGTCGTGTGAGGTGCACGAGCTCCTTCGACTCCAGGTCGTCGGTGGAGACCCGCTGTGACTCGTCCAGCTTCTCTGATCGCCGGGCAAGGAAGCACGTCACAAACCCACCGCCGCGGTTGGCATCCGAGCGGTACGTGCCCATGTTGACCCAGTGGCGGCTGCGCCGGCCCATCTCCTTTGCAAGCTCGTCCTTTGCGGCCTTGAGCGGGTCCTCGTGCTGCGCCAACCGCGAGGAGAGCACGGCGAGCGACGGCCCAGGCAGCCCGTAGTTGGTCTGGCGGTACAGCAGGAAGCGCCCGTGCTCGTCCTCCACAAGGATGTCCACCTGCGGATGGAGCGGTTGAGCGGTGGAGGTGGTGATGGATGGATGGAAGATAGAGGTGGTGGTGGGTAAAGGTGGTGAAGGAAAGAGAGGCACAACGCGTCAGCCAAAGAGTGAAGAAGCAGGTGAGCAAGTGATAAAGGTTGAGCGGGTGTTATTGCGTGGCCGTAGTCATAAAAATGACGCCTGACAACAGCATCTCGTGTCATGGAACACAGCATGCGCACGTCAGGACACACACACACGCGCGCGGATGCGTATGTGTATGTGTATGTAGGCACAAGCACAAGCACAATTACATACACGCACACACATTTGCACGCGCACGAACGCACGAACGCACACACATACATTCACACATACACATTCACCATCACGAGTACAAATACCCTGTCGTGAAAGTCGACCCAAAGCCAGCCGGAGACCAGCTTCCCGCCGGAGCTGCGGATGGTGTGGCTCTCAACGCGCACATATTTGGCCGCCAGGAGTTCGTGGGCCTCCACCGTCTCGCCCGGATGGTTCCAGTGTGGCCCTTCAAACAGATCGTCCTCGCCACCCGACGCTCGCAACACAGCAATGCCTTGATCGATGGAATGGAGAACAAGACATGCATGGACAGACATGAGAGCACGTGTGTGTGTGTGTGTGTGTCTGTGTGTGTGTCTCTGTGTGTGCGTCTCTCTGTGTGTGTGTGTGTGTGTGTGTGTGTGTGTGTGTGTGTAGAAAGGATTGCAAGACTGGCTGCAGAGGACAGAGAGCGGAGAAGTACTGGGACATACATACACACACACACGCGTACACACACACACACACACACACACACACACACACACACACACACACACACACACACACACACACACACACACACATGCACACACACACACACACAAAACTTACCGGTCATCAAAATGGAGATGGAGATGACGATGAGGGCAATGAGCGCAAGTGCTTGGCATGGGTGAACGTGCGCCATGGCCAGGCCAAACACACAACACACAACACAACATACACACAACACACAACACAACACAACACAACACACGTCCACAAGCACAACAACAACACACGTCCACAAGCACAACAACAACAGCGCTGGTTGATCGTTGTCTGCCTTGTCGTTGTTGTCGTTGTTTGGGTAGCGTTAGGTCCGTTGGTGACTCTGTTTTTGAGGGGGTTGAGATATGGGCACCATCGGATGCGCCGTTTCACGGCGGTTCGAATGAGCCCACTCTGGCCTGCAACAAGCAAGGATGAGGTGCGGTGCGAGGGCTTGCAAGATGGGGACCACCCGCGAACGATTCAAACCCTGCTTCCTTGTATCTGTCGTCAAAACAGAGAAACAGAGCAAACAAGGTTGGGTGGTTGATAAATTTTGGCGGACGAACGGTTATGAGCGAAGATTCGACCGGACAGAAGCTCGAAGTTCGTTGTGATTGTGTGATTGGCCAAGCCCCCAAGCATGTCAAGGCGGAAGCGAAGCGGGCGCAGCACTTTCTCCCTGGCCCGCCGTCATGAAACAACTGCAGCCAGCACAACCAGTCGTCGTGTGGCAACAACCACGGACGATGAGGCAGTCGAGGATGAAGAAGAGTGGCAGCACGCAGACCACGAGGCACGGCTGGTGGCACTCCAGCAATACGACGTGCGAGACATCCCAACAACAGACAAGGAGGCTCACGCGCAGGTGCAGGCAGGGCTGGACTTTGAAAGAGAGCAGTACCTGCCAGACACCACCAACGGACATGGGCACGGTGGTGGCCTGAGCGGTGCTGTTGGCACGGAAGACGAGGATGATGATGCTGGTGATGATGACTTTGACGATGGCTTTGATGATGACTTGGAAGAAACCGATGATGACGACGATGATGGTGACGACGACGGGGGCGGTGGCGTTGGACGTGCCAGAAAGCAGGAACAACATCAACAGCAGGAAGCCTCAGAGCCCGCCACGTCACAGGCAAAGCAGTGCATCCGCGGAGGTGCGCAGTGCCAATCTGGGCTTCGCCCGAGTTTGATCAAAGAAACCCAACGTTTTGTCCAGCAGCTGTCTCGCCCGCTGAAGCGTGTCTTCTGCCAGGCGGTTCTCGCCAGCTGCGTGCACCCGCCACCGACATCCAAGCCAGGAGCGCGCGCCCGAGTCAAGTATCAGCTCGCAGGTATCCTCTTGCTTGCCTGCCTGTTCTGCACTGTGAAGAGAGAAGGCGCATTCTGTGCAGTCCTGCAGACCCTGCTGTGTTGCACACTTCTCACGTCACGTCGGGTCCTTGCTTCGCGACCAGGTGTGCGTCTGTGCCGGGGCTGCTTCCTCTCCGTGCTCGGTATTGGTCGGAGGTTCTTGTTTGAGGCCATCGCTGACATCAAGGAAGGACACATCGTGCCTTCGCCTCGCAAGCCCAGGCCCGAAACGCTGCGCCGCCGGGAACAGAAGCAGCAGGAGGAACCAAAGGTGCCGAAGACGCGGGAAGCCGAGGCATTCCTCGCCGGGTTCATCGATGACTGGGGTCTTGAAAACCCATCCGGGAGAGGTCCACACATCCTTCTTCCCATCCACTTCACCAAACGTTATGTGTACCGGCAATACGCCGAAGACTCAGGTTGGCTCTGTGTGTGTGTGTGTGTGTGTGTGTGTGTGTGTGTGTGTGTGTGTGTGTGTGTGCACTCCCTTTCC